ACTACAGTTATAGTAGATTCATACACAATCTGTACAAGAGGCAGTTGCTTCTTAATCGTAAAATACTTGCCCAAATCGCTATATTAAATAGGAATTGTTTTTATATGATTTCCAGTGAGATCATAAAATAAGAAGATTGGAAAGAATCCAGCGGAATGCTTAAAATGGAGTTCTCTCGATGGAGGAAACGGACTCTATCATAGTAGTTCAACACACACATAATATGCTCACGAAAGTGTTGAACACAACTTTATGTGGGAAACACTCGCACACTTTATTAATTTACAAGACACTCGGTAGAAACTACTCCTTTGTATTGCTTGTAATTCCTTAGGATTTCTTGGAATGATGAATAAGTAGGATGAAGGGGTATTTATACTAGGGGTAGTAAATCTATTCCTAAAATTTCTCAACCTTTTTCCTAGAATGACTAAATCATTTTCCTAAATTTATTTCTAATCCTAAATCATAAATATAATTACTCATACAATGGTTGGGCTTAACCCTATTGCGCTAGTGATGACATTTTAACAGAAAGTAGAACTAATATCGTTGGCAACAAAGGAAATGTTAAAAACAATGGCTAGAGAATGGTGACATAAACTCCAAAATTTTCCATTGTATTATGGCATTAAAGAAACGAAAAGGTATCATCATGGAAATTCTATCAATACAATGTAGAAGTTTAGTAAATGAAGATGAAGTAATGTCAAAATTTGTGTCCTTTACACGTCCTGATCTTGATTGTAGTCCAATTGACCAACAACAAGCAACTTCTCTTCCTAGACTTCGTCAAAACTCCCGAATCAGATGATTTTACTCGAGATTTTAAAAAGAAATGTTGGAACAATCTGAGAGCTGACATCATGAGAGTGTTCCAATATTTTTTTCAGAATGGAATTATCAATGACAACTTAAATGAAACATACATCTATTTGATCTCAAAGAAAATGGATGCATGCATTGTTGTTGACTTTCATCCTATAAGTCTTATGAGTGGACTATGCAAAATTATAGCAAGGGTGCTGTCGTCCTAAAAGGGTCCTCCCTTTCCTAATTATTCAGCAGTAAACAGCTTTTATCTAATACTTTTTGCTTTCTATAGCCATACCTCCCTTATCGAAAATTGAGAGATTTTTTTTGTAAATATCATGGATAACACATCCCTTTGGTAAATTTTAAAACATCAATGAAATTTTCTCTTAAAAAAAAACAAAAAAGAAAAACCAAATGGTAGCATAGTTCTAAATAGAACCCCAAATATCTTCTGACCAGTCGACTTGAAACCCTTTATTTCTCTCAAACCAAATCCTTTTAGGTATTGGTCAGATTGTGGGAGAATATTGGATCATTTTGGATATTGGTAAGGTTGTGGGAGCTCTAGCCCTTTTTAAGTGTTCTCATCCTTCACTTGGGTGTTGGTTAGGGATGAATAGTGCCTGGGTTGGCCAAATCCAACTTGAGCTTTGCAAGCTCTCACCCCAAACATGGGCTAGTTTAAGATTCCAAATCCTCCTAAGCTGCCTAGCCTATACTCTAAACAGTCGAAGAACTACTAAAAACTGCTCTTGTTCCAAAGACCTGATGGTATTCCATAAGATTTCTTTGCTTTACAATAAGCTCATCATATATATTATCAACTTGCTATTGCAGGAGGTTTCAAGGAAACTCTTTCATGGGTCCCATACCCTTGACATTTTCAAACTTGACAGCTATGAATGAGTTGTGAGTGATCAATAGTTTCTAAATTTTTGTTTATTTTTTGCATTCTCCCTAGTTCAACATTTTATGTATATAAGAAGCTAATTGTAATTTAAATGAATGAAATATAAAATGACCCAAGAAAAAGGTTCTTTATTGTAATTATGTCATTGGATAAACTTCATGAAGGAGAATTGGTGATTTATCAAATGGGAGATCGTCCCTAGAATTTATCAAGAAAATGACATCTTTGAAGACCTTGTAAGTTAACACCAACCTTTATTAGATTGCTCTTGATTTCCTTATGTGGAATTACCTTACAATCTTCTGAACCTGATAATGTTCTTTTTATTTTTGCAGAGTATTGAGAAATAATAAGATATCAGATACAATTCCTACCTACATTGAAGAGTTTAAAGAATTGAGCCTGCTGTAAGAATTAATTGTTAATAAATTGATGTATAAGTGCCTGTTTTGCTGGTAATGAGCTTGGTTGGATATGCTTGCTTGCAAACCAACTGAGCTTAAATATTTTGAATAGGTTGTTTCTGTTCTGCGATAACCTCAACCTAAAAAGGGATTTTGTCCTCTCTTTTTTTTGTTTTTTACCAGAATGTTGATGTGGTAACCAAATTTCGAAATGAGATAGAACTGTTAGGAATCACAGATCTCCACAATGGTATGATATTGTCGAGCTTTGTTTTGGGCTTCCCCAAAAGGCCTCATACCAATGGAGATGTATTCCTTACACCCATGATCATTTCCTAAATTAGTCAATGTGGGACTCCCTCCCAACCATCCTCAACAATCCTCCCCTCGAACAAAGTACACTATAAGCCTCCCCTGAGGCCTATGGAGCCCTTGAATGCCTCCCCTTAATTGAGGCTCAACTCGTTTCTCTAGAGTCCTCGAACAAAGTATACCCTTTGTTCGACACTTGAGTCACTTTTGACTACACTTTCGAGGCTCACAACTTCTTTGTTTGACATTTGAGGATTCTATTGACATGACTGAGTTAAGGACATGACTCTGATACCATAGTAGGAATCACGGCTCTCCACAATGGTATGATATTTGTCCACTTGGAGCATAAACTCTCATGACTTTGCTTTGGGTTTCTCCAGAAAGCCTCATACCAATGGAGATGTATTCCTTACTTATAAACCCAGGATCATTCCTTAAATTAGTCAATGTGGGAATCCCTCCCAACAATCCTCAACCAGAACCCCTGTATATAGAAAATTTGAGTCATGTTTTTACTAGTCTATTATACCTTTTTTTGTTAATTTTATTTTCATGGGTTGTTTTGAACCATGAGAGGGTCATATTCTTTATTTTTATATTTATTTTTGTGATCTTTTTATATTTTTCCTTTGATAATATTTTAACATCGATCTTATTTTCCTTGCAGAGACTTAAGCTTTAACGAGTTATGGGGAGAGATTCCAAAGTCACTTTTCAAGTTGAATTCGCTAAGATACTTGTAATACATCTTTCTTGCATGAACATGTAAATTTGTCCATGTTTTCTGTTGTATTGATTGGTGTATTATTGGTCTTTTTTCCAGGTTTCTTGGAAATAACCAGTTAACTGGTACGCTACCTTCAGAAAAGCCTGGTTATCTTCTTAGCATGTAAGTTCTTATAATTGTTGATTTCAGTAATCACAGAATCGGTTGTCCATTTGAAACACTTTCGAATTGAAGTCGAATGATTGTCTTGATTAGTGCATCTATTTATTATGGCCATCAACGTTTGTCTTATGCGCTTACACCTTCCACATGATGCTTGTAGAGACTTATCATACAATGGTTTATCGGGTAGCTTTCCTGACTGGGTCGATGAGGATTCAGCCAAGCATTTGTAATTTAGATGCTACTCGTTTATTTTTCTTTACAATCATGCGAATACACATTCTTTAACGTGTTCTTAAAAATTTGGATGGAATGGAGTTAAGAATATAATTTTTGTTGGGAATGATTTGCAGAAATTTAGTTGCCAACAACTTCACGTTTGGAACATCACATATTGGGTAATTCAATGAGTTTGTGTACTATCTTTAATTTTCATGTGTACCAACTGCCAATTAAACTATTGAATATCTTGCAGTATTGCTTTTCTTAGTACATTTTTCTCTTGCTTTCAGCCATTTCCCTACGGGTTTGAACTGTCTTCGACGAGAATTTTCTTGTAATCAAGCTTCTGAACTCCGTGAGTTAAATGACAAATATGTGTTTCTCTTGTTTGTTACAAAGGAGGGGACGAACTAATTGAGACTTGTTTTTGTTCTTTTAATATATAATTATGGAAATACTTAAATTCAAGTTCATACTGAAATAAAAAATTTGAACTACAAGGAGTTGGGGGGGGGGGGGGGGGGGGGG